TTTTCTCCTTTTCTTGTCGCATTGTCCCTACCACTTCGTGCCTGGCTTCTTTGGATGATCTTTCAGAAAAAGCCATGTGGACCATAAGTCCATGTCTCAGCCCTCTACTTTTCTTTTTATTTTTAAAATCTTTATATTTGAGAATATTACATATGTCCCCTTCCCCCCCCCCCCCCGCCTCCCCCACTGACTTCTTCTAGCTCATCCCCATCCCCTACCCCAGGCCTTCACCACCCTATTGTCTGTGTCCATGGGTTATGCATATATGCATACAAGTTCTTCGGTTGATCTCTTCCTGCCCACCCACCCTCCCCTGCCTTCCCTCTGTGGATTCGACAGTCTGTTCCATGCTTCTATGTCTCTGGATCTATTTTGTTCATCAGTTCATTTTGTTCATTAGATTCCACATATAAGTGAGATCATGTGATACTTGTCTTTCTCTGGCTTATTTCACTTATCAGCCTCTGCTTTCAAGGAAGCCCAAGCTAAAATGTGTTTTCAATTTGTTTCCCTTGCTACCCAGAAACAATCTAATCATTTTATTGATTTTTGTTGTTGTTGAAGAGAGAGAAGGGAGAGGGAGAGATAGAAACATCGATTGGCTGCCTCCTGCGTGCCCCCTACTGGGGATCGAGCCCGAAACCTGGGCATGTACCCTGACCAAGAATCAAACCAGTGACCTCTTGGTGCATGGGCCGACAGTCAATCTACTGAGCCACACAGGCCAGGCCAGACTGATCTTTTAAAAACCTGTGTGATCATATCCCTCCTCAGCCGAAAACCCTCCAGGGACTCCCGTTTTCCCTAAAAGGAAAGCCAAGTCCTTACAATGGCTGGCAAGGCCTGACAGAACCCACCCTCCCCACTGCTTCCTCTCTGATGTGTCTCCTGCTAATCTTTCCTGGTTCTCCTCTAGCCACACTGATTGATCTTCACAGACACCCAGCACACTCCTGCAGCAGGGCCTTTGCACTAGCTATTCCTACTGCCTAGAATGTTCTTCCTGCAGATATGTCCATTCTCTTCACTTCCTTCAAGATTCTTCTCAAAACACTTCTCAGAGAGGCCTTCCTGTGTCAAACAGCAACCCCCACCTCCCTGCTGCCGCCTGGGCCCTGGCCCAGCTTTAAGTTTTTCACAGCACTGATCACCATATCGTAACTGGTCTTTTCCATGTTTTGGTATATTTTCCGTCTCCTCCCCAATTTGAATGTAATCTCCATGAGGACAGGGCCTCAGGGACTTGATTGCTCTTTTTCATCACAGAACCTGGAGCTGTACTTGGCAAGTAGTAAGTGCTCAATAAATATTTGTTGGATGAAGCAAATAACGACACTGAAGAAGTGTGTAAGGATCAGACGATGGTTAACTTGAACCCCAGCTCCCGAGTCTGGCCCTGGGTGTGGTGGCAGCTGTGGGCTCGGAGGGGCCTGCGGCCGCAGGATGCTCTGCAGAGCATTCACTCCATGCTCTGCCCTCTAAGGCTGCTCCTGGTTAATGATCTCTTTGGGGGGTCGATGCTCTGAAATGTGTCTCAAGGAATCCCAGGTAAAACCTCAAGGACCTCGGAGCATTTAGGAAAATAAAACCGCTGTGAGTCTAGTCCATGCTGATCCTGTGCAGGCGGGAGTTTATCCCTGCTGGTCTCCGAGACTCTGGCCATCACCAGCATGGAGTCACCTTGGAGTTCCCGTCAAAGGCTCAGCAGCTGGCAACTCCTTAGCTTCGAAAGGACACTGGCAGTCGCTCCAGCAAGATGGTTGGATCCATGGGGCTCTAGGAAGGGGCTGAGGGTGACCTGCGGGGCAGGCATGCTGTGAGAACAGTCATACCGTCCCCTCCAGGTGGCCAGCCACCCAGACCTGGGATTAGGGGACAGGCCAGGCTGTCTTTCCTCCAATGGGAGGCAGCCCATTGTCCTTTGCAGGCACCTCACAGGAAGCAAGCAGCACCCCCTGTGAGCACAGGAGACACAGCCCTGCCAGGGGGAAGGCAGCCCCTCCCTGCTGGGGTGCCCTGAGCCGGCGGGTCCCTCCGGGCTTCCCTGGCCCCTGGCTCTGCGGGCAGTCAGAAGTGGGAGCTGCAGCCCGGGACTGAAGAGGTTAATGTTCATCTGCCTCCGAATGTTAATGTGTTTAGGTGATGTCAGTGGGAACCGGGAAGGAGGGAGTGGGAAGAGCAGTGGGGCTTAGAGGCAGCTGAGGCTGCAGGCTGCCCGGAAGACCCCCTTCGGGACTGCGGGCTCGCGCTCCAGGACGGGACTCCGGGCGCGGGAGGCTGCCGCAGCCTGCGTGGGCGGCCGGGCCGGCGGGCGACAGGCACCGCAGGATGGACCTGGAAGCCTTGCTGCTGACCACTGCCCCCAATGCCAGCAACACCTCGGCCGGCCGGGACAACCTCACCTCCGCAGGTGAGTAGGGTCCGAGGGGAGCCGCCCTCCTCGGCGCTGGGGAGGGAAAAGGAGAAGGATCACCTCTGAGCCCAACTGCCCGGGAAACTTTCAGGGCTTCATGAGCAGGTCTGCAGTCTGCTTGGCTCGCAGGGGAAGGGGAGAAGGGGGCGGGGCAGGCAAGGGCAGGAGGAGCTGGAGCAAAGGCGCATCCAGAAGTGGCAAGGATGGTGGCCAGCGGCGGCGAGGGCTCGCTCATGAGTTCCAAATGTGCTTTGCAGGAAAAATTCCAGGCTGGAAAAGCCAGCCAGAGAAGCTGGAGGACAGTCTGTGGGGAGGCAGCTGGAGGCTCCCTGATTCACCAGTGCCTTTGGCTTTTTACTCCAGCTGCAGCAATGGGATCTGAACCATCTGGGCTGCCCCCTGGAAAGGCTGTGGGAAGGGGTAACTCGCAGGGATTAACTTTCCTGGTGAGTGAAGCTGCCTGACATCTCCAGAGCTGAGATGCCTTGCAATTCTAGCTTTGAGGGAGACGGGAAGGAAGGAAAAAGAGGAAAGGTTTGTGTGAAGACAATTCTCAGGTGGTGGGGCTGCAGCACACCGCTTCAGGTTCTGCTCCCTGGGTGGGGGCCCAGGCTCAGAAAACCCAGGCCAAGGCAATCCCCGGTAGGGTCCCAGGAGACGGGAGGGCTGAGGGCCTCATGGGCAGAAGCCTCCACAAGACAGTCGCCCACAGAGATGCCCAGGAAGCAGTCACAGCTCCAACCAGCAATTTCTAAAATGAAATGGTCAAGGCTGCAAATAGAAAAAGAGCAAGTACACACATGCGCACGCGCGCGCGCACACACACACACACACACACACTTTCATGTCCTTCTGTTAAGCCAGCGGGGGCCCACAGCTGTGGCTGTTGGCTCTGTGTCTTCTGAAACAATGCAGGAGGCAAAGGACTGGGTCCTTCAACTAACAGGTAGTGGGTTAGAATCTAGGAGGATTGACCAGGAAACCGGTGGAGGAGGCCAAGGTGAGCAACAGTGTGTGGAGGGAGAATGGTAGGAGAGAATTCTAGATAAATGGTGGACCCTGAGCTGGAATGGCAGGGAGGATGCAGAGGCGAGCAAGCGTGTCGCCGGAGGCTGAGCAGGCCAGAAGGATGTCAGCCCTTAGAGAGCAGAGTCCATGCTTAGTGACTGACACTTGGCCTTCTGTCCCCAGGGCCGCCTCCTCGCAGAGGGAGTGTCTCTTATGTCAACATCATCATGCCCTCGGTGTTTGGCACCATCTGCCTCCTGGGCATCGTGGGGAACTCCATGGTCATCTTCGCGGTGGTGAAGAAGTCCAAGCTGCACTGGTGCAGCAACGTCCCCGACATCTTCATCATCAACCTCTCGGTGGTGGACCTCCTCTTCCTCCTGGGCATGCCCTTCATGATCCACCAGCTCATGGGCAACGGGGTCTGGCACTTTGGAGAGACCATGTGCACCCTCATCACGGCCATGGACGCCAACAGTCAGTTCACCAGCACCTACATCCTGACCGCCATGGCCATCGACCGCTACCTGGCCACTGTCCACCCCATCTCCTCCACCAAGTTCCGGAAGCCTTCTGTGGCCACCCTGGTCATCTGCCTCCTGTGGGCCCTCTCCTTCATCAGCATCACCCCTGTGTGGCTCTATGCCAGGCTCATCCCCTTCCCAGGGGGCACGGTGGGCTGTGGCATCCGCCTGCCCAACCCGGACACTGACCTCTACTGGTTCACCTTGTACCAGTTCTTCCTGGCCTTTGCCTTGCCCTTTGTGGTCATCACGGCTGCATACGTGAGGATTCTGCAGCGTATGACGTCCTCCGTGGCTCCCGCCTCTCAACGCAGCATCCGGCTGCGGACGAAGAAGGTGACCCGCACGGCCATTGCCATATGCTTGGTCTTCTTTATATGCTGGGCACCCTACTACGTGCTACAGCTGACCCAGCTGTCCATCAGCCGCCCGACGCTCACCTTTGTCTACCTGTACAACGCGGCCATCAGCTTGGGCTATGCCAACAGCTGCCTCAATCCCTTTGTGTACATCGTGCTCTGCGAGACGTTCCGCAAACGCTTGGTCCTGTCGGTAAAGCCTGCGGCCCAGGGGCAGCTTCGAGCCGTCAGCAACGATGAAGAGAGGACAGAAAGCAAAGGCACCTGACACTTCCCCTGCCACCCTGGGCACCTCCAAGTCAGGACACCGCAGCAGGCCCTGGGGAGAGAGACTGATGAAAACCCAAGACCGCTCTGAGAGAATGCAGGGAGGCTGGGCGGGGAGGGGGTTGCTGCTACCAAACACCTTCCACGGGGCCCCCCAAATTGCTGGGAAGGCTCCAAGCCAGGTCGGGGGCTTCAAGCATCAGAAATCCCCTTGGGAGAGCAGGATGGAAGCTTGGGGTTGAACAGAAGCTGAGCAAGAAGAAAATGTTGCTTTAAATATTCCGTTGAGCCCTGCATTGGCTAGCTCCCAAGTGTCTTTTTCCTGAGACAAGAGGTTTGTTTAAAGCCAGGCAGGGCCTGGGTGTGACAGCGGGGCCCCACGGCACAGCACAGGCCCTGGGGAGATGGGGAAGGTGGTGCCGACTCCATGCCCTTTCCATCTCATTGGCAGGATGGAGGGCAGCCTCTCTCCCCAGCTGGAGGGTGATGAGAAAGGAAGCATGCCGTCTCTCCGTGTTCCAGCATCCTGTGCTGCTTTCCCTGTGTCTTTAGGGGGTGCATGTTTATCATTTGGGGGTGGGGGGCTCTAAGCCCACAGGAGTAAAAGCCCATATGCTAGGAGACCCAACTGAAAATGACAAGGCTCACTGGGGTGGGTGGGGGTGAGGTGTCTTGAAATTTAAAAAAAGGGAGGTAACAAGGGGGTTTTTGCAGCTGTGGGCACATTGTCATCACGGGGCACATTCATCAGTCACCAGATCCAGAACGAGTGGCCATCAGTGTCCTGCATGTGCAGGGGTCATTCAGATGCCTGGTGTGTTGGCACCATCTTTTTGTTGTGGCCCTTCCTCTCCCAAATAAAAAGATAAAAAGCTCTAGATGCTCCTATATAACTGCTTGGGCTTGGGGGTGGGGGGTGGGGGAGGGTGGGTGCCAGAAAAGGAAAGAGGGATCACTTGGCTTTGGCTACATTTTAGGAAGCAAAAAGCAGGGGATCTGCTTATCTATACCCACAGGGAGGGGTCAGTGTCACAGATGGAATTACTGTGAATTCATTAGATTGCAATTCTACTGCTGTGCTCGTCGCCAGAACTCACCTTTCTGTCTGCTCCTTTTCTGTCAGCGCTGGTCCCTCAGGCCCCACGTCCCACCACCATGTCCCCGCTGAGTCACTGGTTGCAGGCTTGGCTTCTCGGGGCAGCCTGAGCCGGCTTCTTGCAGCTGCTAAGACCTGGAGTGAGCCACGTTGAGCAGGAAGATTACAGGCGGGGCCGCTGGGCGGCAGCCAAAGCTGCTGCTTCTCGGCTGCTTCACCAAGAGCAGCTGGGAGCCAGGAGTCCTTAGCAAATTGCTCAGCTGCTCAGCAGATGTTGATGAGACAGTGGGAGCAAATTGTGAGCCTCAGAGCCTCCAGCTGGTCCAGATGCATCCTGAAAGTAGGTGCACGGGCACGGCCTGTTCTTGCCATTCGCCCCCCCCCCCCCAGAGTTGCAGTAGGAGTCTGTTTTACAAACTTTTGAACAGCTTCTTTGGGTCCCAGGAGCTCTTTTTTATCATCATCATCATGAGCAGCAGTATTTCTCAGCTGGGTTTCCACTCCATCCAGTACCAGGGAGCAAAGAAGCTGATGGTTCCTTTTCCCTACTCACTAATCTCTAGCTGCCAGAGGTAAACTCCAAATATATTTTAAAAGCACATCCAACAAAAGAAAAAAGATTCTTCGGGGAGCCTCGAGGCAACTCCTACCCACCGGAGGTTTTCCTGAAGCTGGTTTGCGTGTGAAACGCTTGCCCACGGGTCTATCTCCAACCCCCACATCCAGGAATTTGGGAGAGGAAATAGGTGAGGTGACCTGTCTCAGGAAATGGAAGTGACCGAGTCAACAGCTCTGTAGCTGGACGACCACCCTGCTGACGGCCCTGCAACCCCTAGGGAGGGCAACACCCCTTCTTTCAGCTCCCAGCTCCATTTAAACCCTCAGTGGCAGCAAAGTGGGTTCAGCCAGAAAAGTGAGTGGGTGGTTGTTAGACCTACATGAGCAGAGCAAGGACCATTGGCCAGGAACAGAAACTCACCAGTGAAGAAAGCCCTGAGTGCCCAGCAAGGGGCAAAACCTGGAAAATAAGAACCTCGTCCCCAGGGTAACCTCTCCTCCCCTAGCAGGTCACTGGTCATGTGATTTAGACCCCAGATCTTTCATTTCGATGGTCAGGTAGTTTAGACCCCCTGACCTTTTCCTCCCTGAAGATAACATCCAGGCCTCAGTGCATTTCAGCTCCATGCCCAGAAAAACAGCAAAACCAGACAAGTGACTCCTTGGCTACCTCAGCACCAGCTACATTGACTAATGACCCCCTGCCCTGGCACCAACCAATCAGGGGAGACCATGACCCTGAAAGAGCACACCTGGAGAGCTGATGAACATTCTATTGAGACCCTCCCCTGAGAGCTCCCCTGAGACTTCCTGCAAGAGAGAGAGAGAAATATGCTCAGGACAAAGGACCCAGTGTGTGCTCGCTCTTCAAGGAGCACACCGGTGCCATTACTCCCCCCCTCCCCCACAGGCATGTATCTCCCAACCTCTAAGGAACCCCATGAGACTTGCAACCAGGAGAGCAATGGGCAGCAGCAGCTCATCCCAGGCTAACTCCCTGAACTGTTTCCAAGGCCCCCTTTTCTCTGACTTTCCAGTGAGCCAAAGCAGCCCAGCCAGGCTCTCCTGTTGCTTCTTCTGTGTCCTTCCTCGTTTTACTGTCCTAAATATATTTTTGCTGCCATCATGGACCCAATACCCTTTGTCTCAGTGCTGTGTAGCCCCTCCCTTTGGATATCCCCATCTCCCATTCCCTTTTCCTTAAATAAATTCAAATTTTCTTTGATCACCATCATTAATAGCCACCAATAGATGGCTATTTAGCCTGCCCTCGAACCACCGACTTTAACCTTTCAGCGGTGATATAAACAGGACAGAGGGGAGAGGATTGGGGGAGAGATGAAGTCAGAGAGAACAGGGCAAGGAGACTATAATGAGGATGAAGGTACGGTCCCCAGCCTGATCCCGCAGTAAACTGAACACATCAGAGGTGCCACTGTGTAAGAAGCAATGCGCGCTCCCTCCACCCGCACACACCACTGAATGTCTGATGTTTATGGTGTTTTGTTACAGCAGCCCCAGCTAACTGAGACAACTGGTAAGAGTTCTTTTGGTTGTAAATGACAGAAATCCAACTCCCACTGATTTGAGCAACAAAGGAGAAGGTATTGGCCTGTTAAGGGGAAACATTCAGGGCTAGGTAAAGCTTTAAGTCATGACTGGATCCAAGGGCTCGAACTCTGTCCTCAGAACAGACTTCCCCTTTCTCTCTTCTCTCTTTCTCTCTCTCTCTCTCTCTCTCTCTCTCTCTCCTCTCTCTCGCTCTCTCCTCTCTCTCTCTCTCTCCTCTCTCTCTCTCTCTCCTCTCTCTCTCTCTCTCTCTCTCTCTCTCTCTCTCATCACTTGTCTCAGTTTCCTTCTCTCTCTCTCTCATCACTTGTCTCCAGTTTTCCTTCTCAAGAGGATGTCCTCCCCATGTAGTAAATGGTCACCAGCAGGTATATAACTTGCATTGTCCTCACTGAGCAGCAGCTCCATGAATTAGCCAGGACTTCTGTCCTGCCATCTTCCCCTTAACATCTATTTTAAAACCCCCAAAAGCCTCTATTGGTCATGTTCGAGTTACATAGTTCCCATTTCCACCCAACCTAGCCTGAGAACTAGGGAAATGAGACACTCTTACTGGCTAGTATAGGTCACTTGTTCATCGTAATTGGGCCTAGGCAGCCTTACACTGTGTGTGTGTGTGTGTGTGTGTGTGTGTGTGTGTGTGTGGTGTAGTTTGTAAGAGAAGAGAATTTATATTATTGCAAGTGGAGAGAAGGATGATGGGCAGACAAAAGAAATATCCCACCAGGTAAGTTTTCAATAATTAGAGAGAGTGGCATGGAAAACAGAATGGCAAAGGAACAGGCAAGCAGGGTCAAGGATGATTTAGAGTTCAGCAAGGAAGCCAGTGATTGCTGTTAAGGATTGTGCACAGGAAAGTATCTTTAACCTTGAAGCTGATGAATACCTCCACCCCCACCACCAAATGCACATTTGCTTATGCACATAAAATACTGCAAGTAAGTTTGGAGGGTTTATAACTCCTCCCCAGGTGCCTGAGGCAGAATCCTGGTAATGGAGCAATCCCTGGATGTGGGATCTAGGTACCTGGCAGCAAAGTCAGATATTAGACCCAAAGATGGCTGTGGCCAAGTGCACAGGCACAGTGCCCATCATCAGAGCGAAAACAGCCAGGGTCTCGGTCTTCCTGCAGCTTCCAGCCCCAGCAGGGAACAAAACATTAATCAGATAAATCCAGAAATAAATGTGAAATCACAACTGGGACTCTACAAGGGAGAGGCATGAGAGAGAATGAGCGCCGTGGGAGCGGGACGGAGCTGCTCAGGCAGGTTGGCTAAGTGACATTTCACCCACCGAGCTGCGAAGAGCAGAAAGGGAGGGGGCCTTCCTGGCCGAGGAGTTATCTGCGCAGGAGCCCTGTGTTTAAGGGAAGGCTGAGGGATGCTCTGACACGGGTGAACCAAGGCAATGTGTCAGCCGCACACATACTGTGTCCTCGGGTTCATCTGGGTTCTATTTTGCGATGTGTAACATGAAAGAAATCTGGTTGCAATGACAGGACTGTAACAGCAACCCAGGGGGCAAACCAATTCATTGCCAAAGGGAAAAACTAGACAGTTCGGCTCATCCCAGTCGCTCCTGGATCTCATTAGGGGGAAAAGGCTGAAATTCCAAAGGCCATTACCAACACCTGATAATGCTATGTCTTGTCAGACAAACGATTTTGAGCACAAACTACCCTGTCCTGTCACCAACCCATTGCTCAGCCCTCCAGGTCAGCTCACCCTCCCCTGCTGCCAATCATCTGAGATGAGCGTCAGCGCCCCTCCCTGGGAGCCAGGTGAGCTGCAGCTGCTCACCTACTGGCTTTTGCTGGGGAGCTCATTTCTGGCAGACTCTCTTCAGGAAATGGAGTTAAGAGGAAGAAATCGGAGGTTAAGAAAATACCTTTCTGGCCCTGGCCTGGTAGCTCAGTTGGTTAGAGCACTGTTTCGGGTTTGATCCCCAGTCAAGGCACATACAAGAATCAACTAATGAATGCATAAATAAGTAGAACAACAAATCCATGGCTCCCCC